TTAAAAATGGAACTCCCATTTGACCCAGTGATCCCACTTCTAGGAATATATCCCAAGAAATCAGAAACACCAGTCAGAAAGGATATATGCAACCATATGTTCATAGCAGCATAATTTACAATAGCCAAGACTTAGAAACAGCCTAAATGCCCATCAGCAGATGAGTGGGTTAGAAAAAGCTGTGGTACATCTACATAATAAAATACCGCCTGCTGTAGAAAAGAAGGAACTCCTACCATTTGCAACAGCATGGATGGCCCTGAAGAGCATTATGCTAAGCAAATTACGTCAGGTCAGAGAAAGATAAATATCACATGATCTCACTCATTTATGGAATATAATGAACAACATAAACTGATGAACAAAAACAGATCCAGAGACAGAAAAGAAACAATCGGACCGTCACACATCAGAGGGAAGATAGGGGAGTGTGTGGATAAGGGGGAAAGATCAACCAAAGGACTGTATGCATGACATATGTGAGGCCAAGACCAATAGAGATGCACAAAAAACCAATCACCCACAGTCTTTGTAGGGGGGGAGGTCTCATCCAAAAGTGAACAGATCACACAAAGATAAGGCTGGATAGACTGGGAGTAACCCCAAATTAGTCTCAGAGTGTGTAGTTTATGTAGTTATACCTGGAATGAAATTGAAAGGGAATTATTAAAATCTTAACAGGGGTTATTTTAGAGTGAGAGGCTATATGAGTTCTTTTCTCTCTCTCCTTTTCTGTATTTTTCCATAATGAACATACACTTTTATAATGGAAAAAAAAAGGAAGTTCATGTTCAAAGAGGAGGCAGGGCTCAATCACACTGTAATGAACATGGCATTCCACAGCACACGCTAGACTCAAATGAGTTCGCCAGGCGTGCACAGCTGTGACGGGAGGTGACTGGCCAAGGGGGGGAAGGCGAGCTCGCCTTCCTCACTCCACAGGGGTGCATGCAGGTCCCTCTTGGAGCTGGGCCGGATTTTCCTCCGGGCAGGCCAGCGGAGGATTTATGGGCCCAGAGGGATCCAGACATCTGTGCTCCATCTACCAGCAGTGCTAGCCTCCCTGGTCAGCAGCAGACGGAGCGCCATGCAGTCGGCTGTCCCTCTCTGATTTCCACAAATGCCGCCTTTGTGCTGAGGCCCGAGCCCCCAGTCCATGTGGGGCACAAGGGAGGCAGGAGAGAACAAGGCGGGCAGTGTCTTGCTGAGCTGCTGCGAGCACCACTCCACTGGTGATTGGGGTTTAACCTTTTTGGAAGAGGCTGCCAGCCCCCCTCTCTCCTGATATCCTCCCGAGGAGCCAGAGGAAGGACTGCTAAGTGCTCCATTATTGATTAAAGCATCGTGTTTGGGTATGTGGGCCTCACTCATCCCTTCTCCTATAATGAAAGGAGCCCAACATGAGAGACACAACTGGACATCCAAAGGGATATATAGAGCTCTAAGGTGCCAGGAACCAGCGGCGAGGGGTACTGTAGCAGAGAATCAGGCTGCTCAATCACAGCCTTGAGTTGCTTTTGGAAGGGGAAAAGGTATAAATATATACACACATGGGTAAGAAATGAATGCTGAGAGGTAGCCCCTACACGCCTTGTTCTCTGTTCCTCTCCTTGTAGAATAGGCATTAAGGCCACAGTAGGCAAAATGAGGAAGGATGTGAGGTTGGGCCACTGACTGCCCCCTTTGGGACTTCCCCTTCCCCCTCCTCCTCCCTGATCCTCAGGCTACATCAGCATCCTTTCCCATTCTAGCTGGTGCGGGAAGCAATGATGACATGAGATTATTGAGGTGCTAGGAGTGGAAATAATTTTGCAGAACTTGCACTGCATGCACCAAGGTGACTGCTGGAAATATCTGGCTGTGCTTCACAGACCCCCCGGCAAACATGGCTGTCTAACTCTGCATACAACCACAGGAGCCTATTTCCATTTGCCGACCCCTCAAGGACACACTCACGGCATAAGCACATCGCTCAAGTTCTCTCTGTGTCTATGTGCATGACTATTATGCATAACTCTGCTGGGTTGTTTCTGTCCATAAATGGAGCCTGGAGGTAGCTATTCACCAGGATATTTTAAAAAAAATAAATAAAAATGATTTTGCTACAAAAAATATTCGAGGTTTTAGAAACTAATCTCCACATGTCAGATTCCTCCCTGGGGTCTGGCTTTCTCATCCTTGCTTGGCCTCGTCTGTTGCATTTCAGACATGGCTTGATTTCTTTCTGCCCCAGTTCTCTAGGTCAATGCAAATTGTCAAGGCGATCAAATATTTCCTGCAGCGTTCCATGCGTAGGTTCTGCATAGAGCAGAAACAGGAGAAAAGAAATAGAGGTTGCCTGGGAAGCCAAAGAAAAGATTTTGAAGGTATGACAATGGGGTATGACAATGGAGACATTTGCAGATTACCGCTGGCTGGCTACTCAGGCACAGCTCTTTACTGCCATGTGGAAACAGAGGCCCAGCACCATCAAGCCTTCCACTTCCTCAAGAGGAGTCAGAAGGCCAGGACCTTACGTAGATTGTTTTGATTTTTAATTGTTAGCTCAAAACACTGTGCGGCCAAACAAAACACAACTTGGGGGCCAGATGTAGGCCATGAAGTTGTTAGAAAGCAACTCTATCTAGAATGTAAGCAACCTGAGCTCAGGAAGTAGGGCCTGGTGCATGACGAGGGGATGAGTGAGGCCCTTCCTTGGGCAGAGGGTGGACTGTCCTAGGAGAGACAATGGGAAGAGATGCTGGCAACATGGGGGGGGTCATAATGAAGGGGGGGAAATAACTACAGAGTGAATGAACTTGAGCCACAGTCACCGGGATGGAAAGGAAAGGGTGAAATAGCAGTAGACAAGCAAAAGCATTTCCAAAAAGCAGAACTCAGCAAAAGACCAGATGTGCAGGACTCGGGCAGTGATGAATCTTCCAGAGGAAGCCTGCCATGAACTTGGCCAGAGGGCTGAGGGGCTGGTCACGGGGGAGAGAAGGTAAACACATTTTTCTCCACTAGCTTCAAAGCCCTTCATCTGCCTCCTCCAGACAACCTTCTTTTTTCCTCCTCTGTTCTCCCACAAAGGGGACCTGGGGTACCCAGAGGCCCCAGCACCAACAGAACCAGAGCCAAACCTATAGGTAATTATGTGCTGAGGTATTCATTCCGAAGACACTGTGAGCAGAGTTAACAGAGGAATGGACCCGTCAGGGGAGAAGCACCGGAGAGGGCCGGCATCTCTAGGGAAGTGGCGAGAACAGCTTGGGCTACTCGGTGTCATAGCACATTGGCTGAATGGTGTGGAAGCAACGACAGGAGGGGATGAGAGAGACTCAAATCGTTCTCAAGTCATAGATTATCAAAGCATGGGACAAGCCTTGGGTTCCAGTCCACAATGTTCCTAATGACTCACAAAGTCAAGAAAAAAATACTACAAGGAAAAGTGTTCCTGACAAGTGAGAAAAGGCAGACTCAAGTCTACGTCTCGGCTAAACAAGATGAGCCTTCTCATGGCGTGACTTTTGTGGGCGTCAGTCTACAAGAGGGCGTTTATGATGATCAAATTGGGTTGGAGGCCTGGACAAATCTCAGTTTTCACTTTAAAAGATAAACTTTATCAGGAGTTTAAGAACAAGAACAACTACCACCACTTGTTAACCAAAGATTTATTACAGTAGATAATATTTACTTCCTGGCTAACTAATTAGTAAATTAGTGATTGCTAACTAAGGATCAAGGCACTATACCAAACCCTTTAAATGCACTATCTTGCCCTAGCCAGTTTGGCTCAGTAGATAGAGCGCTGGCCTGCAGACTGAAGGGTCCCAGGTTCAATTCTGGTCAAGGGCATGTACCTTGGTTGCGGGCACATCCCCAGTACGGGGTGTGCAGGAGGCGGCTGATCGATGTTTCTCTCTCATCGATGTATCTAACTACCCCTCTCCCTTCCTCTCTGTAAAAAATCAATAAAATATATTTTAAAAAAATGTACTATCTTGTAAATATTTACAACAATGCTATAAAGGAGCTGGTGGCATCAACTCCAGTTTATCCATTAGGAATAAAAGCAAGACCGAGAGATGTCACGTCATCTGCCCAAGGTGACAAAGTATTTGCGTGACAGAGCGGAAGCCAGAGCTGAGACACTTCATTTCCGGGGCCCCTGTTCTAAGCCAGGGGTCAGCAAACATTTCCTACAAAGGACCAGATAGCAAATACTTTTGACCTTGTGGGCAATATGGTCTCTGTCACAACCACCAGACTCTGCCACTGAGGTACAAAAGCAGCCGTAGACAAGAGCAGGACATAAACATTGGGCATACCTGTGTCCCAACACAACTTTATTCACGGACACTGAAATTAGAATTTCATATCATTTTCATGTGTGGGGGAATATAATTCCTCTTTTAATTTTTCCCCAGCCATTCAAAAACGTAAAAAACATTCCTAGCTCGTGGGCCATAGGGAGACAGAAGGTGGGCTGAATCTTTTCCCATGGGCGATCATTTACAGATCCCGACCTACACCACGAGGCTCTCTTGCCCTCGGACTCACATCCTTAGAAGGCCCGGAGACATGTTAGAATGAAACCTGTCAGAGGGCGTCTGGATGGGCCACACAACTTGGAAACACAATTGTGAGAAAAGACTGGACAGAGATGACTCTTCAAGTTACCCCTCTCAAAGGACACCGCCTCACCCCAGTTTACAAGTTGAAATACCTCTTTCTTCCTTTTGGTCCACTGCATTGCCCCCTTCTGTTGAAATAAACCTTGATTCAGGTCAGTCTGAAACCAGGGAAGATTCTCGGTAAAATAGCAATGCCCTTCCCACACATGGTTTTCTGCAAACAGGAGCCCACTGCGCCCTTCTTACCTGCAGGGTCTGGCTGAAGCGCTTCAGCGGTGTAGCCTTCACGGGCGGGATGAGGTTTGCTAGTGATGTGACTCTGGAAAGGGGTTTGACCCGTTTATTACTTGGCTCCTGTAGATCAAAAAAAAAGAAGGAAGAAATGAAAATGTTGTCAATTATGAAGAAAACATAACTCCACCACGAGTCCTCCCCACTCATGAGCTGCACACGGATCTGTGAAATGCAAACAGTGCCCTGTCTCACTCCAGCTGTGCGGAGGTGACCTGGCTTAGGCGCCCGAAGGAGCAGTGGCAGCCAGATGTCAACAGAAGCAGCCTCTGAGCGCACAGCTCATGGGCCCAGATCTGCTCCCTGCCCCCACTCCCAATATCTGCCAGTTTTTAACTCAGTAAGATCATCCTTCCCAAACCCCCCTGAGAGAAAAGCTGCCTCAGATTCCCCATCCAATGACCTTGTCAGGCGGCTGCCTTTGATACTTCTGGCTTTTTCTTTTGAAAAACCTTTCCTTCACCTTGCCTAAAGCCACTCTCCACATTTCTTTATGCAATGGGTTTTCTAAAGCACAAGGAATCTTTTAGTTAATTAAATTTTAAAAAAACTTAAAGAAGTTCTTCTATTCCTGGGCTCTTAAAAAAGCATATTTGCACCTTCAGTATATTTGAAATGTACACATTAATACTTACAAAGAATAATCAGACAGCAGAAGAAAAGGCACGAAGAGAAAACCCTGCCATGGGCACCGGTCTCTGTATTATATACAAACGTAAGCTTTGAAAATCACCTCCATCACCTCCACATAAAACACTGTCAAAACTGCACGTTACCCCAAACCAAGCTGATGGGGGAGAGGGAGCCAACCATTCCAGTGACTTTGTAGACAAGAATTACAGAAATCAAACAGCAGACTGAAAGACAGAGATGACAGACAAAACATCCTGCAAGGACAAAGAGAACAGTTACCCTTGTCTTCCTAAGCTCCATCTGACCTGCGGTGGACGCTGGACAGCACATGAACACACCAGGTTTTAACGGAAAAGGCCAACCGTGACAAGCGTGGTGGCGAACCTCAATCATTTCCACAGGGAGTCTCAAGAAGCTCATCTTTCTTTTTCAGCCATCGCTTTCTCTCAGAGTTTCGAGGGGTAAGCCAGAACTTCCGCGTCTCCAGGACGTCCCTGCAGGGTGTCCTGAACATAGTAGGTGCTTGGGAAAATCTCGTCTGGATTTGGAATTCTGCCAAATGTCATTTTATACCCTTGCCAGCCTCGGAAACCAGAAGCCTTCTTTGACACAGACCCAACGTTTCTGGCATTTAAATACAAAAATAAGAACCATTCTACAATGTGGCCAGGAGTGATGTCACGGTTTCTCGAAGCAGTGAAGCACTTTTCCAAGACAGAGAATGAATCCAGGCTGCCGGCTACCTCTCCGGCTTCTCGGCTTGCTGAGCTGAGCAGACAGCGGGAAACTCTCCCAACCCTGGGAAGGCTCAGTTCCAAAACGCAAAAGATAAATCTCTCAGCGAAAGAGACCTCGCATTCTAATTCCTGGGGTGGCTGCGAGAAAGATCCAATAGCCCTCTGCTTCCAGGTGACAGTGCCCTTCAGGATGCTCTCTGTCCAAGTCCTGGCTCCTGAGCATGTTCTCAGAGGAGGCTTTTAAAAATATGCTTTACGTAAGAGCTGCATCACTGGCATAATGAACACACACACACACGTGCACACACACACTCTTGAGCACCCCCTGAATCCCTCTAGGTGGGTGCTGCCTTAGGCTGGCAATGCCAGTTTTGGTGGCATGAACGGCACTGCAGCAAGTGAGGTGAAAGATTTCCTGGGGTGGGGGCCAGGGCTTGGTCTCCAGTAATCCTGCACCCACCTCAGAACCTGGAGACTCCTGGGCCTCTGTTTCTTTAATGGCTAAAGCGGCTGGGTCACAGAGTCTATGTCAGAATGGGGAGATGGAAGGGCACATGCCAACTGAGTTCTCTCGCTTTAAAAAGGGGCAGGGAGCATTGCACGCTCGGCAGGACAGGAGAAGACTCAGCTCTGTTCCACTGCTGTGTCATCTTTTCTAAGGTTCTGCTGACTTTGCTGTCCTTTTACCTGACCCAGTTGGATGGGCGTTTTCTGTGCAGCTACAGGACGTACGCATGATGCAAACGGATGCAAACGCCAGCTCCGCTGCAGGCTGTGCAGTGCTGCTAATCAGACTGCAATGGAAGCTCCCTTCCTAACGCACTGACCATGTGGAAGTAAACATCGGGCTGCTCTCTGCCAGTCTCATTCCCAAGTAACGAACAACTGAACCAGAAACTATGTTTGTGTGACTTAGTGCTGTGATCCAGCAAAGCAGGCAGGTGCGATTTTAAAACCAGAACATTTACAGGCTACTGGGTCTATGGAGGAGGTTTTATGCATGACCCACATGAGTAAAATATGAATTATGGTGTGCTCTTGGAGGGTTTCAGTGAGAATAGGCGATTAAAAAAAATCTTGGCCTAATTTGATTTTTCTTTTCCATTTAGTCAGTATGTCTCCAGCTACCTTTAACGGCTGTCTAAAAAGAGCCCGCAGGGAAAATGTTTCCAGAGTCTAGTTAAATAGCTCTACTCAGAACTAGCAAACGCACTACCAGGGTAGCTTCCGGGCTTTAGAAAGAGATGACAGATACACTTGCAGAGGCTTCCGAGTCCAACAACTCCACGGCCAGACCAAGCTGGGCAGGGTCAATGCTAAACCTAGGAGCAAGGTGTCCTGTTTCAAGTGCAGACACCACCCTCACCATGCAACTTCAAGACAGAGCAGAAGGGCAGCACACTAAATAAGTTTAAAGGAGAAGAAAAGTAAAAGGTATTGCATGTTTTGTGTAGGCAGCACTTTCTGGATAACAACATAGTTCTGTTGCATCTTTTCCAGCCTTATAGCTTTTTGTTTTTCTTGTCTTATTGCACTGGCTAGGACCACCTGTCTATTGTTGATTACAAGGTGAGCTAGTGTGTACACTAGTCTAATTCCTGAATCAGAAGTGATTATTATGAAGCTTTCATCCTTAAGTATTATGTTTCTTGAGAGCATGGACAAGACACCCCTTTTCAAGTAAAGAAAGTCCCTTCATGCTAATTTTGCTGTGAATTGTTATCATGAATCCATATTAACTTTTATCAAATGTTTTTTCTTTTTTCAGATGACAAGGAAGGGAGAAAAAATAAAGGGAAAACAGAAGAGAGGGTAGGAGGAAGGGAAGAATGAAGAAAGGCATGAAGGTCATATTTTTTTCATCAATCAGGGCATGTACCCTGACTGAGAATCGAACCAGCAACCTTTCAGTGCATAGGATGATGCCCAACCAACTGAGCCACACTGGCCAGGGCTAGCACAATTTTTTTATTCCTTCAAAAATAATTCCATTCTAATAGGCATGACATAAGGAAACCCCTACTCATTCTCCCTGCACCTCATTGTTGCAGCCTGAGTGGGGCTGGGAGCCATACCATAGTTGTAGCTGCCCCAAGACTATTTTCACTGGGCCATCAACACAGCCCAGAGGGCCCAGGAGCACAGCCACAGGTGCGGGACTTAGACTGTTCTACTGCAAGGCAGCACTGCTCCTGGCTGCTCTGCATCTGGCCAGGAGCAAGGGAGAGGAGAATCAAGTGTGCCAGCAGCAGATGCTTTTGCCCATGAGTTGCTGGAGTCATAAAAGCATGCCTTTCCGGTGCTTGGAAATACCAGGGAAGGGTTATAGAGAGCTCCATCTGTGTAACAGGAGGTGTGCAGTTCCCAGGGGTCACATTTCACCCACCCAGTAACCCTCTGGGATGCTTTCATCACCTTCATGCTAAAAAGGAAGTTCCAACCTCAGAGTAATTGAGGAGCTCTAGCATTATTAAATAAGAACGAGCTAACAACAGAGTGATATGCCCTTCTTGGTGCGTCACATCGGGGAGTGCATTATGTCACTATATGCTATTACTCCTGATGTTAACTCTGACCTGTTGGATAAGGTGGTGTAATGGGTTGAACTGTGTCCCTCCCAAAAGACGTGCTGAAGTTCTACCCCTCGAACCTATGAATATAACCTTCTATGGAAATAGGATCTTTGCTGAGGTAATCAAGTTAGGATGGAGCCACACTAGATTACAGTGGGACTTAAATTCAATCACTGGTGTCCTTATAAGAAAGGAAATTTAGACGGAGACACACAGGAAGAATGCCAGGCGATGACAAAGAGAGCAGCTAGTGATTTATCTACAACACACAGAACACCGAAGACTGACAGCCAACACCAGGAGCGAGGAAGGCAAGAAATGATTCTCCCACGGGTTTCAGAGGGACCATGGCTGTGCTGAGACCTTAACTCTGGACTTCTAGTCCCCAGAGCCATGAAAAATAAATTTCTGTTATTCGAAGCCACCAGCATGTGGTGCTTGGTTAGAGCAGCCCTGGGAAAGGAATACAGGTGTGTCTGTCGGATTTCTCAACTGTAAAGTTACTAGCACAGTAGCCACCCCCACCACCCTGGGGGAAAATGTTCCAAGACTCCCAGTGGGTGCCTGAAATGGACTGTACTGAACTATATATATACACGATGTGTTTTTCCTAAACATACATACCTATGATAAAGTTTTATGTTTTTATCATCTTAACTAAGCACCTATCATGCACTGTGGCCATAACTTTTGCAGTTTGAACAAAACTAGCACAATGTTCTTTTTCCTTCTTTACAATTTCACAGAAGATTTGTTCTTACTGCGGAGTTTAGCAACCTCAGCATATAAGTTATTTTTCTTTCCTTTCAGAGAGAAATTTCACCTTTTCACTTAAAGGACGCACTTGATGGCTTCTCTTTGGCATATCGGAATTGCCAACACCACTACTCTTGTGTTTTGGGCCATTAGTAAGTAAAGTATGGGTGACTTGAACACAAGCACTGTGGTACCCTGAGAGGTGATCTGATAACTGAGACGCTACTAACTGGCTAATGGGCAGGGAGCATAATCCGCATGAATCTGTTGGACAAAGGGATGATTCATGTCCTGAGCAGCACAGCACGAGATCTCATTACACCACCCAGAACAGTGTGCAATTTAAAACTTATGAGCTGTTTGTTTCTGGAATTTTCCATTTAATATTTTGGAGTGTGGTAGACAGCAGGTAACTGAAATTGCACGGCGGATCAGGGAGAACTGCTGTCCTTCCTTTGTAACGAATACATATATTGGAAGAGATACTTTGTGACTATGTGCATCCTTTTAAATCCAGTTCTGCCAGTGTTCACCTGGCACCTGCGAAGTGGGCTTCACTTACAGGTGCACTAGGAAGAGCATCTCCCAGTGAACAGGGAGAGCCAGAGGTTGATCCAGGCAGAGTGCCCAGGAGAGTCAGTGTGGGCTGCAGCGGGCAAGGAGTGGGGCATGTGGGCATCAGGCAGGGCATCCCCAGTGGCTGCAGGGCAGAGAGGCAGCAATGAGGAGGCCCGAGCAGAGCAGTGGGGCTGCAGAAACAGGAAGGGGAGCTTCTCTGGAGCCTGAAAGTGACTCTTCACCTTATATCAATTTATTTATTTATTTATTTAGAAAATAGGGGAAAAAACAATAAAGAAATAATCGTTTCTAATTCCAAAATTTCCATAAAAAGTATCTTTTTTCTGTTCTCTTTCCTCTGGCATCTGTTCCCAGAAATTGAAAAGAAAAAAATGAGTCCCAAATCTAATGGAAACCTGGCTTCACTGATGAGGCCAACGCCATTTCAGAATTATCGACTTCTAACCCATAAGGTGAGCAGAAGATCTTCAAATCCAGGCCTATAATCTTCCCCAGGAGATGCTTATCAGTGATTCCAACAAAGGACTACATGCGCTGTGGACGTTGATAAACCACCGGGAACAGCTCCCGAGAGAGCCTGATACCTTTGTCTTGGCTCCCCTCAAAGACAGAGGCCACTCCCCCCTGTTTATTTTCTCCAGGAGTCAGGCTGCCTTGCTCCAGCACCCAAGGGAGATCTGATTTCCTCTTTGATAATACAGCCCAACTCTCTCCCTACCGGACCCTTTAAGGAAAACATCCCAATTTCCTTCCTTCTTTAAAAGAAAAAAAAAACAAGTGCTGGCTTGGGGGAGAGGGGTATCTTTATTTGCTAATGGGAAATAAGGAGAGCCTGGCTAAATAACATCTCAGAACATGCTGAGTTAGTTCAGTCCCATGGCCATGTTGCTGCAGACAGGGTGTTGGATTGCTGTGTTTAAGATCTGATAATTTCTCTAGCTGCCCCCCCACCTCCTGCCCCGCTCCGTGGAAATGCTGAAAAGCATGATGGAGGTGTCACAAGATGGTCTGGGAAAATCCCCAAGATCAAACCATCAACGCCCAGGGCCACAGCACTGAACACATTAAGGCTGGAGAAATTACACTTATTCCTGCATAGTGAGTTTGTCTTTGCCTGGGACAGTCAGTCAGCACTAAAGAGTCCAGTCAGCATCTCCAGCATCTGGTCAAGATCAGTCTATCTGGTGGTCATTTTTAGGGCAGCTTTGGTTACGGGAGAGGCATTGGGGGG